TAGCCTGAGCAACTTAGCAAGACCTCATCTCTACAAAAAATAGACAAATTAGCTAGATGTATTGGAACACACCTATAGTCCCAGCTACTCAGGAGGATCGCTTGAGCCCAGGAGTTTGTGGTTGCAGTGAGCTGTGATGATACCAGTGCACTCCAGCCTGGCTGAGAGAGTGAGACTGCATCTCAGAAAAGAAAAAAGGCACTCAAAATGACATGTTTTGCTGTTTGAAAGACATTAGGCCCAGAGGTTTTTAAGCGCATATTATCAACACCTAAAAGAATAGATCATTCTTATTGTAATTGGAAATTTTCAGAAATAAGAAAAAGAGGAAAAGTAGCCCAGTTCTTAATTAAGATTACAACTTGAAAAAAAAACATCCCAAGAAGGACAAAATAAGAAAAAGTGTATTTTTCAATCTTATAAATAGAAATGAAAAAAATGTTTTTTAAAGCTCACAAATCAAATGAAGTAGTTAGTAGAGTCTAAATAGGATTTATCCTAGGAATGTAAGTGTGGTTCAACATCAGAAAGATGAATGTAATACCAAATTAACCAGTTAAAGATTTTTCAAAACTATATGATCATCTTAGAAGCCAAGAAAACTCAATAAATCTAATATTCATTACAAAAACAAATAGAAATAGAAGGGAATTTTCTCTGAGTTGATAAAGGAGATTGATAAAAACCCTATTGCAAACATCATACATAATGATCAAACTAAAAAAGTGTTCTCATTAAATTCAAGAACAAGACATTGATGTCCACTAACCATATTTTTGTTCAACACTATACTGGAGGACTTAACCATTTCAATAAGAGAAAAAACAAAAAAGAAATAAGAGCTGTAAGTATTAGAAAGAAAAGACCAAACTATCCCTATTTGAAGACAATGTAATCGTCTATAAAGAAAATCCAAGAGAACCAACAAACTTGGAACTAGTGAGGCTTCATCAAGGTTAGAAGAGAAACATCAATAGTTTTCCTATAAACTAGTAATCAATTATAACATGTTATTCAAAATTAGCAATGAAAATTAATACCTAAGAGTAATCTTCATATAGAAAAATTACAAAAATGGAGTGGTTTGACTATATTTATTGATATGAAGACCCAGTGCCACCTCTTCCCAGTTTATTCATTGATTCAGTGTATTTTGAATCAATATCCAAACAGGTTTTTTTGAGGGCACTCAAAAAGTTAATGGTAAAGTTTTTATGGAAAAGCAAAGAGGCAGGAGTAACTTAGAAATTTTTGAAGAAAGGGGAAACACATGCCTTGTCAGATATTAAGATCTCTAAAGCTGAAATATTTAAGACAGGTAATTATTAGTACTGATATAAAGAAGAAAAAACAAACACTAGAAAGCCTGAATTATAGAAAAGCTGATACACAAAAGAGGTTGCATTACAAATTAACGAGGAAAGGATGGATTATTTTTTATGTTACTTGGACAACTCATCCATATGGAAAAACTGAAGTTCAATCCATACTTCAGTACATGCACAAAGATCAATTCTAGGTTAATTAAAAGTCTGAGAAAAGCAAAACTTTTGCACATTTAGAAGAAAATCTGAAATATGTAAATTTGGAGTAGGGAAAGATTTCTTGAGCCACAGAAAAATCAGGAAGGAAAATATCAATTTTATATTAACAGTTACTATTGAAATATAGAAGTCTTGAATAGTAAAAGATACCGTAGGTAAAGTGAAAAACAAGCCACAGACTAGGGGAAGATATTGGCCACCTATATAACTGGAAAAGATCACTATTCACAATATTCCACAATAAAAGACAACCAAATGGAAAATGGAAAAAATGTTATGTAATTTACAGATGTAGAAACCTGAATAGCTAATGAGTTTATAAAGGATACTGAATATCTCTCATAGAAGTAAAATAATGAGATAAACATTTCACACTTACCAAACTGGCAAAAATTAAAAAGCCTAACAACGACATTAGCAAAAGTGTGGGAAAATGAGGACTTCCATACACTGTTAGTTGACGTATAAATTGAATCAACTGCTTTGAATAACAATTTTATAATAACTAGTGAAGTTAAAACTCTTGTTCTCTGGCTGGGTGCGGTGACTCACGCCTGTAATTCTAGCACTCTGAGAGGCCGGGGCGAGCAGATTGCTTGAGGTCAGGAGTTCGAAACCAGCCTGAGCAAGAGTGAGACTTCGTCTCTACTATAAATAGAAAGAAATTAATTGGCCAACTAATATATAGAGAAAAAAATTAGCCGGACATGCCTGTGGTGCATGCCTGTAGTCCCAGCTACTCAGGAGGCTGAGGCAGCAGGATTGCTTGAGCCCAGGAGTTTGAGGTTGCTGTGACCTAGGCTGACGCCACAGCACTCACTCTAGCCTGGGCAACAAAGCGAGGCCCTGTCTCAAAAAAAAAAGAAAAACTTTTGTTCCCAAATATGACCCCTGCGGAATCACCCACATGCACAAGGAAATATATAAGACTCACTGCACCTTTGTTTGTAAATATTGTGTTTGTAAGTGAAAGTTTGGAAACAACCTAAATGTTCATAAGCAGGAGACTGGGTGATAAATCATGGTAACATTACACAATAGAGTTCTGTAAAGCACTGAAAATGGATGAACTAGAGCAGTGGTTGGTGAATCTGGCTTACTATTTTTGTAAATAAGTTTTATTGGAACACAGCCACACTGATTCATTTGTACATTATCTTTGACTGCTTTTGCACTACCACAGCAGAAATGAATAGCTGTGACAGACCATAATCACCCACAAAAACTAAATTATTTTCTGACTGGTCCTTAACAGAAAAAAATTGCCAACTCCTGAACTAGAGCTACAGGCATTAACATGGGTAAATTTCAAACATAGTGTTATATAAGAAAGGAAATTGCAGAATAATGTGTATAGTATAGAGTATTGAGTTTGAAAACATGCAAAGTATATCTGTAGATGTCTGCATATATAGTAAGAGTATAAAATATGCATAAGAATCCTAAGTCCTACCACTAAATAGATGGTAGTGTATTACCACAGTAGAGGGAGGGGAAGGAATAATACTAGGGATGTAGTAGGGAGATGATAGAGGGAGCTTCAACAGTTTCTATTCTATTTAACAAATGTGGAGCAAGTGAAAATGTTAGGATTTTTACTGTAACTGGGTAGTAGGTACATGAAGGTTGTATTACTTAACTATACCTTTTCGAACATTTGAAATATTCATAATTTAAAATTTTGATCTCAGCTGGTGTATAAATGATGATGGTGAGATTTTACTTAATGAGAACCCCACGGGCAAGGCTGGCCTACTACTTGTTTGGGTGTTTTTACATTTTAGATGTTTACATTGGTACCTATATAAAATCCATAATGTGCCTCTTGGTCTACAAGGCCTAAAAATATTTACTATAACATTTGGCACTTTAGGAAAAAGTTTGCTGACCCCTTACCTAGACTAAAATAGAATCATAATATAAACAGGATGAGACTAACAGAGAATAGACAGTTCAAGGGACTTAAGGTCTCTAAATAGTAGATATATCAGGAGCAAGTGAGTGAGAGACCTAAGAGGGATAGAGGTCGTGGTGTGATTGGATTGTGAATTAAAAGATTCCAGAGCAGGGGCAGCTGGGAGTGATCACATGGTAGAAAGTAGCCAAAGCAGAGGGGATGTGACTGTCAGATGAGTTGAAGTCAAGGAACTCAGTGTGTAAGTGGAGACGGTCAAGTTGCCCACAAATTGGAAGAAGGGAAGACTGATGACCTGCAATTCATATTTCCAGTTGGGATAGGAGAGTTTATATGATAAATAACAGAATCAAATATTCAATCCCTAAAGGTGAGGGAAACCTGACTTGGAAGGCTGATCATATTTTTAAAGAATGGGGCTTGCTTAAGAGCCAGCAGTGTGGAGAGGAGGTTGCTAGTGGATAAAAAGGCTCATGCGTTAGTCTGAGTTCATAGATGGAACCATGCCACAAGAAGTAGAGCCACCAGAACTTGGGACAGTGAACTGAAACTGGTAACTAGGGCTTTCAGCTGTTTTGCTAGTGATTCGTGTAGAAGGAGGCGGCTTCCTTTGTTGCTATAGTTCTTGAAGATAGAACCAGCACAGGTTTGTGGATATAATAAACTTCACCTTTCCTTTAGTGCTCTATGGACTTAATCAGAATTACTTTCTTTCATCACTAGAGGTCATTCTTACAGTAGAACCTGCTAGATGGCAGAATTGTTGAAGAAGAGTTTCCCCATAAATGATCTTCAAGTCCTTTCTAATCCACAATCTGTAATAAATTAAGTAGGATGCAGTTTTCTCTATAAGCTAAAAGAGAACCCCATTTAATTCACAGATGATTCTTCACCTCTAATTCTTTCTTGTGTATTACTGAGTACCGCCTCTGTTGCAAGCACTTTCTAGAGCTACAAAAATGATATTGATATTGTGCTATTTATCCATAAAAACTTCTCCTTTGGCCATTATTTTTTTATATGTGGGAAAGTGGCAGTCACACTTTTTACTTTTGGAATTTTATTTTTTAAATTTAGAGATAGGGTCTTGCAATGTTGCCCAGGCTGGTCTTGAACTCCTGGGCTCAAGCTCTTTTTTTGAGATATAGTCTCACTGTGTTGCCCAGGCTGGTCTCAATCTCCTGGGCCTAAGTGATCCTTCCACCTCAACCTCCTTAGTAGCAGGGACCATAAGCATGTGCCACAACACCCAGCTTACATTTCTGCCTTATTTTATCCTAATGTCAGGATCACAGATAGAACATTGTTGTCCACCAAAATGAATATCTCATGGCATAAACAATCAAGAAATCTAAACAAAGCCTTTGCTACTCCGTGGGCTTGTGCAACAATGCCTCTCATGCAGTGAGCTCTCAACAAATGTTTTTTTAATTGAATTGAAATCTTCCATTTCTGTAGTAGCACAGTTTGTACCTTTAGGCAAAACTTGATTTTAATGTGTTGTTTTTGTGTGTGTGTGTGTGTGCTTGTTTTTTGAGTAGTTGATGGATTTGCAACTGAGTGACAGTAACTTTCGTCGACACATCCTGTTGCAGTATCTCATTTTATTCCAATATCTCAAGGGGCAGGTCAAATTCAAAAGGTAAGTTAATATAAGTAAATGACTTATCAGCAACAGAAAAGGACTTGCTTATTGTTATATTTTTCTTATGTATTGGGTCAGTTTTATGTATAAGAACAAAATCTTTAAAACACTTCTATTGCAGTAGACATATAGGTAATTGGGGACTTTCAGATACTAGAATATTTGTTTTAAGGAACAGGTGTTAAACTGTCAATGCTAATCAGCTAATTTCCTCAGCTAATTTCCTGCTGAGCTCCAGGGCTTCCTGGGAGTGCTCCTTTGTTTTTTTTTTTTTATTGGTGGGTGGAGGTCTCTGCTCCAGACTTTCATCATTCCCTTCTCACCTAACTCAGACCTTCTCCAAAGCAGATTTGAAAACTAAGCCAATAATATTTCTCTCACCAAGTATGGAGCTGTCTAGGATACATTAGAACTAAAAGATGCAAAGGAAATCTTGAAGCAAATAGGAGTTCAAATTTCTTTGAGGTTTCATAAAACCTCATCAGAATCTTTTACTATCTGTCTAAATCACCTGGGGACAAGACCATTTCCTCTTGTCCATAATTGAAGTGGAGCCCATCTTTACTTGACAATATTTGTGTTAAGTATGCAAAGGAGTGTGGTATTAGTCATACGAGGGACATGACCTTACTGCTGGCTGGGTTTGCATCCTGGTGTTACTTGCTGTCTTCATTGCAGCCCTTTTAAACTTGTAATAGGTAGCAGCACATGGTAAACACTCAACAATGTTATTTCTTATCCTTCTATCTATTTTGGAGGTTTGGTGAGAGAGATTAAGAGAGAGATGGGAGAAAGATTAAGGACTTTGGAGTCAGATGTAGGTTTGAATTCAAGCTTTGTGGCCTTGGGCAAATTATCAGGTCTCTGTAGTTTCTGTTTAATATGTACATGTAGAGTGAGAATTCGATGAATAATGCATGTAAAGCACTCAGATCCTATAACACATGGCAGCGTATCAAAATTTACTGGGTGACTATAAAGGATAAGTTCATAGTGAAAGCTGTTAGTGGCGGCTATTAACAATTTGGGGTTTACCTATAGCCTTTTCTAAGGTTTTGGGTTTTTCATGGCATTTTGAAAGAATTTTAAAAGAATGTAGCATGCCATTCTGAATGTACATCATGTATAAGAATATGTTAATATTGTCTCAAGAGATTTTCATCTCACATTAAACTTATTTTAGGAAACGTTTATTGTTCTGTAGATAATCTGATTGAATAATTGAATGTTCTATTCTCCCATATTCACCTCATGTCTTCACTTCTAACCCTCTTGAGGATAAAGTGCAAGAATTTTCTCTTATAGCTCTCTCATTTGTGACTATTCTTATTTATCTTGGTATTTTTGACACTATAGTATGGTTAACTTGTATGTTCATGCCTTGTGTTTTTTAAATCTTTAAATTTAATATACATTACTATGACTCACGCATGCTTTCATTGCTTTGTTCCCTAGTTCAAACTATGTTTTAACTGATGAACAATCACTTTGGATTGAAGACACTACAAAATCAGTTTATCAAGTAAGTTCAACACGCAACAAACCCATGATTGAAAAAATGGAAATTTAGAATTTTCTTTGTTTCAGCCCCAAATAGGAAAATAAGGATAAAGTTAAGCTCAGGTACAAGACCACAAACACTCCTTGGTTCTCTGCCTACGAACCACTCCTATGATGCAGAAAGTTGTTGAAAGCTTAGTATATTCTTTCTAATCACAGCTACTATCTGAAAACCCCCCTGATGGAGAAAGATTTTCAAAGATGGTAGAGGTATGTGTTTTATATTTACACAGTCTTCTTAGCAGCAAATAGAATTTCAGAGGATTACATTATGCAAATACAATTTTTGTTTTTCTCAGCATATATTAAACACTGAAGAAAACTGGAACTCATGGAAAAATGAAGGCTGCCCAAGTTTTGTGAAAGAAAGGTAAATATATATTCCTCACAAAAACTATGAGAAAGGCATTTCAGATATAGTTTGATATGATTATATCATGTACAGATATATTTTTTATATGAAAATACATATTACACATAAGTTGAACTCCGTAATAGTATAACCACTTTGATTACCTCTGTTTGTATTTTTTACCTCAAATTTCTTGTCATGGCCGGGCGCGGTGGCTCACGCCTGTAATCCTAGCTCTCTGGGAGGCTGAGGCGGGCAGATTGCTCAAGGTCAGGAGTTCAAAACTAGCCTGAGCAAGAGCGAGACCCCGTCTCTACTATAAATAGAAATTAATTGGCCAACTGATATATATATATATAAAAAAATTAGCCGGGCATGGTGGCACATGCCTGTAGTCCCAGCTACTCGGGAGGCTGAGGCAGGAGGATTGCTTGAGCCCAGGAGTTTGAGGTTGCTGTGAGCTAGGCTGACGCCATGGCACTCACTCTAGCCTGGACAACAAAGCAAGACTCTGTCTCAAAAAAAATAAATAAATAAATAAAAAATTTCTTGTCATTAAGTTCCCAGAAAAAATTTATCTATATTAATTACTGAAAAAAATGCCATATATCTATTTGTAATTCACCTTACTCTGGCATTTTTGTCCTTCCTATCTGATGAGTGTTCTATCATAATATGAAGCTTTTGGTCTTTAGGAAGAAAACAATAACTAAATTTTCTTTTACCTTAAACATTCTTCCATTTCTGTTATCCATTTGTAATTCCAAAAATAGTGTTTGTTTTGTTCACCACAGAACCTCAGATACCAAGCCTACAAGAGTAGTACGGAAGAGAACAGCACCAGAGGACTTCCTGGGGAAAGGACCCAACAAAAAAATTCTGATGGGAAAGTAGGTTAACTTGTCTTCATATGTGAGATGTTCGTAGTTATTTTTATATTTTGAAGGTGTTACTTTTAAGAACTGTCTGGTTTTTCACATCCCACTATAATATGAATTTGTATTTGGCACATACATAGATACTAATGCAAATCACACCTTTCAGTCTATATTGCCTATTATGTGGTTTCATGCAGCTAGATAAACCTTCATTTTTGTCTCCAGCTTGAATATCCATGGCTCTGGAATGTGCCATTTTTTCCATTTCACAGACAGTAGAATTGCTATTTAGGTTGATGCAGTTCACTTCTGTGGTTGATGCCACAAGGTACCATAACCCTTGAGTTCTGTTACCATCCAGTTAACTATCACTTTATTTTGTGCTTGAATGGTTTTAGAAAAAACTAATGATTATATGATTATCATTATGATTAATGATTATGATTATCATTATATGATTATCTATATTCTCATATAGAAAATTTGTTGAACACCAAAAATTATGAAGGAAAAAATAAGTCATACTGTCATCACCCCACAATCCACTGTTTGCATTGTGTTGTTTTTCTATTTAGTTTTAAGGCATAAGAGGATGGTGTCTATAAACAGTGTATTTATTTATGATTCTTTCTATTTTGTAGTGAGGAGTTAACAAGGCTTTGGAATCTCTGTCCTGATAATATGGAAGCCTGTAAATCAGAGACAAGGCAAGTTGAAAATTTTTCAAATGAAGTATTGCTTTTCTCAAATGTTGAGTAGAATAGAGCCTTTTCTTAGCTATGATTAGAACTTAAAAGAAGTTTAAAAGTTTATTGTTGTTGAACTTTTGGCACAGCTGAATATGGCTTCCCACCATACAACACCTAGAAGTGCGATAATTCTAGAAATCACAAGAAAATAAAGATTCATAAACAAAATTGAAACTACAAGCCAGAATAAACCTGTAAACTGATGGGGTTACATCTAGCTGGGGAGCAATGCAGAGATTGTCAGTTTTGAGAACCAGAGAACTTGGGTTTTAAAAGTCACAAAAGAACAGAAGGTAAGGTCTTAGGCCTACACAAATTGGTGAGCGAGTTTCCCCTGAATAAAGCTGAAATTGTTGAACCACTATACTATGTGTAAAAGAAGGGCAGAGGGTGAGAAGGGTAACATACGGACACAGGAAATGAGGAAGCTTGTCTATTTCTACTGAGGCATGGGTAAAAGGTTAAAGTATTCCCTAAGAAATTTTTTTTTTTTTTTTTTGAGACAGAGTCTCACTTTGTTGCCTGGGCTAGAGTACCTTACATCAGCCTAGCTCACAGCAACCTCCAACTCCTGGGCTCAAGCAATCCTTCTTCTTCAGCCTCCTGAGTAGCTGATGGACTACAGGCATGTGCCACCATGCCCAGCTAATTTTTTCTATAGATTTTTCGCTGTCCAAGTAATTTCTGTCTATTTTTAGTAGAGATGGGGTCTCACTCTTGTTCAGGCTGGTCTCGAACTCCTGAGCTCAAACAATCCTCCTGCCTCAGCCTCCCAGAGTGCTAGGATTACAGGCATGAGCCACCACGCCTGGCATTCCCTAAGAAATTATTAATATAACAAGTATGTTCTCATGCAGTCTTGGAGTTTAAATTTATACTACCAGCAGCATAAAAGAATCCTTATTAAGCTAATACAATAAACTAGAAAGTCCCAGCTGGTGAGAAAAACCTTTCTGGAGGTCACACCTTTAACCCAAACCACACAAGTTTTCCACGGATAAAAATCCAAGGATAAGTTTACCATCCAAACTTAACAAACATTGACCGAAACAGTCCAGCAAGAGTTAGCAGATAGAACAAACTACAGAAGTTAGCCACTTTGGATAATAAACCATCACTTAAAGGCTGTAAAATAAGTATATTTCAGAAAGTTAAAGACAAAATAAGAACAAATTGAAAACTATAGAAAGGAACATGACACTGTTAGAAGGAATCAGGCAAATATAAAAAAACAATACTTCTAGAAATGAGAAACTACAGTTATTGAAATTATAAAATAGGCAAATTATAAAATAGCAGACTAGACACGGGTGAAATAAGAATTAATGAGTTAATTAATGATTAAGAAATTGCCCCAAAAGCAATACGGAAAGTCAAGAGTTAAAAAATATGAGTTAAAATCTATAGAATGAAGAGGTCCAATAAACATCTAATGGCAGAAGCAGCAATAGAGAATGGGAAAGAGGCAATAATCGAGATGACGACAGAGTAGGCATGAATTCTTAGGTATAAGTACAGGCCTTAAGGATAAACCTAATAAATCCACATCTCCATACATGAAAATAAAGACACCAGAGAGAAAACCCACAAAAGAGAAAAATTAAACTAACTTCAAGAACAACAAAAGAAATCAGAAGACAGTGGGATGAGAGCTTCAGAATGATGAGAGAAAGTATCAATCCAGAATTCTGTAACAAGTCAAACAAGTTGTGGTCAGTTGAGTGATTGAGAAATAGTTACTCTCATACTAAAACTGTGAGAATCTATAATCAATAGTGTCTAGTAAAAGAGCTGTCATAGAAGGAAATTGAACCCAGTATGGAGGAGTGAGTTGCAAGAAAGACATTGGTACACGTGAAGAATTCTAAATAAGTCTTACGAAGAATTCACTGTATAAAATAGTAAATAACTACTAATTAGGGGTTATTTTAAAAGGTAGAGCTAATGTACTTGCTAAAAATGACATGTAAGACAGGAAGGTTAGGGTTAGGTCAGAATTAAAGAATGGTATAGATCAAGGTAGAGATAATGAATAGCTAGACTTTAAGTCAAGCAGGCTTGTTAAATATTTGAAAGAAATAGAATATTCATTTTTAAACAAATTGAGGGGTAAGAAGGTAAATATAGAAAATTCAAGCAATCAAATAGAAGACAGGAGAGGAGCAAAAAGCACAGAAGAAACAAGTAACAGAAAGCACAAAACAATATAATTAAATTTAAATATATAATAGAAGTAAATGGACTTTCTGGCTCAGGGACAGAAATTGGCATTATATTTTTAAAATCCATCTACATGTTGTTTATGAGAAACTCACCTAGGCTGAAACCAAAAGAATTTAAAAAAAAAGATGAAATAGGCATAATTATGTTAATATCAGAAAAGTCTTAAAAGCAAAAAGCATTATTAAAAATAAAGGCAATCATTGTTTTAAAGATTTTAAAAAGTATAGTCTCAAAAATTTGACAGAAGTCAAAACTGATCAATCCTCTATCTAGTAGAAGAATTTTGACCTACCTTTCTCAGTATTTAATAAATCTGGTAGAAAAAAACTTAACATAAAACATTCAGAATTTAGCAAGATAATTATAGGTTTGGTCTTACAGAAAACACAAATTTATGTAAGCTATACATGCATAACATGAACTTATAAAAGTACTTAAAAAATTCTTAACATACTTCTATATAATCAAAGAAGAAATCATAATGAAATTAGAAAACATAGATGATAATTAGAAATTAGAAAATAAATGATAATGAAAATACTACATGATCAGATGTTGAGGACCTCAGAACAAAGAAGAAAATTTATAGCCTTACATGTTTATATTTTTAAAAAAATAAAATATAAAAATTAACCACGTTAAATAAGAGTCCAACACTGAGGCTCAGAAGAACAGAGTACACTCAAAGAAAGCAGAAAGCAAAATAAGACTAGAAATCAATAAAATAGCAAACAAATAATGGTGAGGATCAAGAAAAGCAAGTTTTTAACACTAGGAAAAAGGAAAAACTTCTAGCAAGATTGACAAGTAAAATTAAGATTCCCACCAAATCTATGAGAATAAACCAGGTGTGGTGGCTCACACCCATAATCCCAGCACTTTGGGAGGCTGAGGCAGGAAGATCACTTGAGGCCAGGAGTTCAAGACCAGCCTGGGCAATATAGCAAGACCCCATCTCTGCAAAAAATTTTCAAAATCAGCTAGGCATGGTGGTGTGCACCTATAGTCCCAGCTACTCTGGATGCTGGAGCAGGAGGATCACCTGAGCCCAAGAATTTGACATTACCGTAAGCTATGATTGTCTTTAAAAAATAAGTAAATAAAAGTAAATGCTAAAATTTTATTTTTAAATGTGAGAGTAGGTCAACCCAGTAGAAAAATGGTGAAAGGAATATTCAGAAGTAGAAACCTTAATCTGAAAACATGCCCAACTTCACTAGTAACTGGAAGTATAGATAAAAACCACAGTGGGCAGTTTCATAGCCAAGAGATTCAGTAATTTTAAAATACTAAGATTTTATAGGAATTGTGGATAAAAATAATTTCCCAGCACTACTGGTGGGAATCTAAATGGTATAGCCACTTTAGAAGACAATTTGGCAATGACTGAAAGTTGTGTAAACCCTAAGACCTAGCCCTTCCACTCCTGGGAATATTGATGCTAAAACAGTGTTTTCAAAACTTCGGGCTGAGAATCATTGGTGGTTTGTGAAGTCAATTTAGTAATTTCAACCAGCATTTTATAGTGAAATAGAAAATATACTTTTGTTAAACATTAGCTTCTATATTGTACAAATACTTGCATATATGTATGTGTATTGGGTTGCAATATAAAATGAATTTCTTACTGCGAGTTGCAATAGAAGTTTAAAGTCCATGGTGCTTAAAGAAATTAGTTCATCCACAAGGGTGCAGGTACAAGAATGTTCGTTTAGCATTATCAGAGCAAAAAGTAGGAAAACAGCCTAAATATCTCTGAACAGGACATGCATAACTTGTGGCATGTTGATAAAATGTAATACCGTATATACATTAGAAAATGAATGGATGAGAACTACTGTACACCATGGTATACTTCAGAAAATCAAGTCATAGAAGGGTACAAGCAGGATTCCATTAATAGAAAGTTACAAACATTCAAAACAATATATACTTAAGTTTTTTTTTTTAAGGCACAGGAATAAGAAGTACCAAATTCCGGATAGTGGCTGCCTCTAAGGAGAGAGGAGAATGCATTAAAGAGGAATGCACAGGGAGCCTCAGTTGTATTTGTAGTGTTTCTAAAACTCAAGCAAACATGGTAAAAGCCTGGGATGTGAATACAGACATGTTTGTTACATTAGTCCTGATTACTTGAAATATATACTAATTTTAAAACTAGCAAATGGTTCCACAACATTTGTGAACGATAGCTCTGGCTGAGTTTTATTGTGTATCCTGTTTTGTCCATATGACATGTAGAAGAAAAGAGTGATGATAAACTCACAAGAAATTTCACAAGCCTGTAGTGTTTATTGATTAGGGAGCATGTTATTTTAATGAAATGTTAGGTCATAAGAGTGAAATGCCAGAGTTTTCTTTAGAGAGCCCATTTTTCTAGTTTTAATCAAAGATGTCTTCTGAGCTGATCCTTGGATCTAATTTCTTTGCTTTGGCTCTGTATTAAAATTTTATTTCTAAAAGCCAATTCAAGAAAAATGCAGTTAAAAACCAACCACACTACCATGGTAACAATTTAAGAGCTAAAAGTTAAACTCTTAAAATCTCATTATGGCTTGGTTATTATTGATAGTTTTTATTTAATTAATCCTGGTTAAAAGAAAAAAAGGACCTATGGAGGAGACATAATGTTAAAATCTCATTTGTTGGTGAAATTCAAATGCTATAAAACCCCTGGCTGCTCTCTGTGAAAAGCATATTCATACATTATAGTATATAGTGTATATTACATCATATATAATATACAGCAAATAATATATATTATGTAGTGTTAGACTAGCCCCTCTTTATTTATTGCCGTTTAGTTTTGTGTTTTAACCTCCTTAAAAATCTAAGTTCTGAAGTCATCTAGCTGTAACTAAAGTATGAGTACCATTAGAAACTTTTATTGCTACTATTTTATGAGCATTTATTATTTATAAGAACATACATGATCCTCACTAATTATTTTACAATACCCAGGGAATACATGCCAACTTTGGAGGAGTTCTTTGAAGAAGCCATTGAACAGGCAGACCCTGAAAACATGGTTGAAAATGAATATAAGTAAGTAATGTTTTTCATGAGCTAATTTTCATTTTCTCCAATACTTTTTCTTAGGAATTGTGTATACACTAGAAAGCTTATTAAGGGAGCCAGTTGATAGTAGTACTGTTTCCTCTTAAATGAGTTTATGGTCCAAGTTCATGTTACTACACATCCTGATTTTGAGGTTTATTCCTGTTGACTAAAAAGCATGACTTGAAATCAACTTTGTTGTAAAATGTAAGAAAAATCTCCCACATCTCCCTCCAACAATGACCTCTTTTCTCTATCCCCTCAAAGTATAGCATCTCCCAACAGCCATTATAATTACCCTTCATTTCCTCACCTCCCGTTCTCTCATCAGCCCACTGCAGCTGGGCTTTCCTGTCACTCCACTGAAACAGCTCTTACCAAGGTCACTTGTTCTCTGACCTCTCAGCAGCATTTGCCAGGCGGCCTGTCCTAGGATGTTTTCTTCTCTTGACATCCGCGAAGCTCCACCCTCCTGCTGTTTGCCCTTCCCCTCAAGGCCCACTCTGCCTCAGTTCCCATCGCATGGCACCTCAGCCTCTCAAATTTTGGAGTACCTTCAGGACTGAGTCTCAGCCTCTTTACCTAGAACCTTCTGGGTGATACTATACAGTTTCATGGTTTTGAATAGACATAACAGCAGCGATTCAGGGGCCTCTTGTCAGAATGCGTAGGTTCTGATCCCTCTACCACACTGACTAGGGTGACTGGGGCTAAGTTAGTGTTCAAGCATAATTCTGCCGCAGAGTTGAAGGTGCACATCATCTGTGTGTCTCCACAACCCCAGTGTCTGGCTCAAAAGTGTCTGTTGGCTGAACAAATATCAATTTATTATTGTTACATAGGACGAGGTGGACTTTTTCTTAAAGTGATAGTTCTTTAGGATTGGTTTAAGACCTTAACTGGTATAGATCTGTGGGGAATGAGAAAATATATTGACAGGGAATTTTGAAAATGCTTAAAAGAATCAAATTTTAACTGTTAGGCAAAGCCTCATAGCAGGTATTCACTTGGGAAAAGTCCCCAGTGTCCGGGGGTAGTTTTGTTAAGTCTTCGGTGGTACCAAGACTTTATCCAAAGATAATTTAGGTTCATTTATAAGAGATGTCCAAATAAACCAGACAGCTACTCTGAATTTAGGGGGTTGGGAGAGACTTCCAAAACCTCAAATGTTATTCCTTCCTCATCAGCATTGCCTGTTTCTGGAACATTATCTTTTAGATTTTCTCTGCTGTTTCCACTTACCTTATAACAACCTATTATTACTGTGCTTCATTAGGGAACAGTTCATGGATTCTATTCTTGACATCACTGGTTACTGTGTTGGCTACTGGATGTTTCTGTTTTAGTATTTGAAACATTTTTATTCACTGAGGTTGGTATTAATTATAGATATAAAAATAGAAACCCAAATATTCATTAAATTAACATGATCAAAACTCAATGTTTAATTTATAAAATATTCTGAAACTCACATCTGCAGATGACAAGTATAGATATCAACTCACTGAATGTAAGTACCTATTATGAATTTTTTTTCCAAATAGATGGATGATTCCTGTGGCATTTATATAGCATCTATTCATTATCAAATACATACTCATTGACTTGTTAAAATTAAATTGAAATTTATGTAAACTTTTAAAATGTTTGCTGCATATGAGCCTGCCTCTTCAGACTGTTGGTTTCTATTATTATTTATAAGTGGATTACATGCTGAGAGGTTCTTCAGGAATAGGATTACAATGAAAAGAATGGTACTTTAAGGTAAATAGCTCTAAGTATAGAATTTCACATGACAGAATTATATAATATTAAGAAATACAGAAATAGAAAACTATAAATTATAAGACTGACATCTCTTTGTAGGGCTGTGAATAATTCAAACTATGGTTGGAGAGCCCTGAGACTGTTAGCGAGGAGAAGCCCTCACTTCTTCCAGCCAACCAACCAGCAGTTTAAAAGTTTGCCAGAGTATCTCGAAAACATGGTAATAAAGCTAGCCAAGGAATTACCAGTAAGTAACATAGATCAATTTTTTCATATCTTTTAGTTGACGTTGTCTTCAAAATCACTATTTGAGCAAAGAGCTAAACTTCATGTGAGAAAAAGTGCTCCACAAACTCCCATGTTTTTGAGGGAAAAATGCATCTGAATATGCATTTATAGGAAATACATAATGCAAGTTCATAGTACTTTGTGTTAACTGTTATCCACCCATAAACTCAGACATGAATTTTGCCTACTTGCCTATGTATTATATTGTCTTTTATCAAAGATGGGGTCTAAGGGGTAGTAGCAGGGAAGTTGGCCTTTCTACTCTGTTCTCTTTTCCTATACAGTTTTCTAATGGTATCACTACAATATGGTAATAATGCCGTGTGCCTAAAAATCTAAGATAATTACTCAAAAACTTTGTGACACTTGTTCCCTGGTCTTCCCTGAGGCCATCTTTATTAAACTCTAGGTATTAATATTTGCAAATCCTGTTACTGGGCTTCTCGCCGCCTCCCTACTTCCCAGGTTGAGACGGCCCCCTAGGATCCTCATGTGCATTCCCATTTAACGTTTTCGGGTGAGGTTCTAGAGTCCAGAATCGCTCAGCCACTCCTGTCTAAACAAAAAGAATCTCCAGTTATCTTACTTCAGAGGTTGACATTCTTTTAAACATTCGTCTTTCTCATTTTTAGCCTCCTTCTGAAGAAATAAAAACAGGTGAGGATGAAGATGAGGAGGATAATGATGCTTTACTGAAGGAAAATGAAAGTAAGAATTGAATTTTCTTACCTATTTTACAAAATTGGAAAAGATTGGGGTTCTTTGTTGAGAGGTACGTTATTTAATTTGATCTACTTCTCAACTATCATTTTATCTCAGCTCTGTTTCTGACTTATAGTGAAGAATTAAAACTCTGCATAACTTAAAATATTGTAATTTATGCAGTATTTGGAAGTAATGGTATTTTAAAAGGGAAGGAAGATACTTACATTTGAAGGTGACCAGTACCTCTTAATTTATTGGGGACTAGAGGGGGAGCCTTTATTTTAGGGAATACCTTTATAATTATTATAGAAGTACTATAGCTTTGATCATTGATCATGATTATGATTATAAGAGCAGTATTCAACTTAAGGCAAATATAAAACAGAATTATCGTCTTTTAAAATAAAGCTTGTTAAAGGTGATTATTAACCCATTGGCCCCATAGCATACCAGGTCTGCTATATACTTAGAATTGCATTTCTCATTGGACTTTGTGCATAATTTATATTTTCTATGTTTTCTAGGTCCTGATGTTCAGCGAGACAAACCTGTAACAGGGGAACAAATAGAAGTATTTGCCAACAAGTTGGGTGAACAATGGAAGGTTCTGGCTCCTTATTTGGAAATGAAAGACTCAGAAATTAGGCAGATTGAGTGTGATAGTGAAGACATGAAGATGAGAGCTAAGCAGCTCCTAGTTGCCTGGCAAGATCAAGAGGGAGTACATGCCACACCTGAGAATCTGATCAGTGCACTGAATAAGTCTGGATTGAATGACCTTGCAGAAAGTCTAACTAACGACAATGAGACAAATAGTTAGCTTCTTTTTTTTTATTATTAAAACTGTGATAAGATTTTGTTACCAAGCAGCATTTGATAAGAGGTCCACTGGTTTTGGTAAACAATAAACATTTTTATAACAGTTGTTGTACAGTTGGCTGGTGCTCTAAGAACAACAGAACACATATTGGCTCAAACCAGAGTTTGGGGAGGATGGGAGGGTAGTGTGGGAAAATGGCCTAAATGAAGTGACCTCAAGATCACAAATATTTTTGTTGAATTTATAATGAAGTTAAATAAGCAACATTTAGGAATATGTTGTTTCCTATACCAAATTAGTATTCTGCATGCTGTTAGTAGTTACAAAATTTAACTATTGTGAAATTCCAGAATAACACTTTTCTGAAACCATATGACTGCTCTATTCTTATTCATGCTTTAAAGCAGAGGATCGGCAAATGATGGTCTGCTCGGCACATGTTTTTGTAATTAAAGTTTTATTGGCCCCCCCCCTCCCCGCTCATAACGTGTATGGCTCCAGTTGTACTAAAACAGCGAAACTAAGCAGTCACAACAGACACCTGACTGCCTACAAAGCCTAAAATTATCTGGCCCACTGCAGAAAATGTTTGCCGACCCCCAACTTTAAAATAAAACCTCACTTGTCTATCTAGCCTTACAAAATTTATTTGACCTCTCAAGACTGTAAAATTACATCAAGGATTATTGTGAAGTTCAAATGAGATGTATATGAAAACACCCTATACACAGCAAAGCACTATACAACAGTGAATCAACACCATCTACTTTCCCGTTCCCACATAAGTTTTCCCTTTAGGGCTCTAAAATTAGATCATCATTGTTTTTAATCGTGAAGAAGGGCTACTGAGTATGTATTATACTGTAAACGTTCTTGCTTGGGCCTAAACTTCACTAACTACTCAAGCCATGATCTAGCACAGCTCTAATGTTAAAATGGCCTTAGTGTTAGTGGCACAGCATATAAGGCACATTCAGGAATCCAGACGTTTTTTGGCCTACTTTCCCTTCTCAAACACCTTACACGCAAGGCTGAATATTAAAATAGCCTTATTAGTTTAAAACAACACTGGTATAAATCCCATTTCTACCTAAAAAGTATCTTTGGAGTAATATTTTTTTAGATCAAATAAAATGAAATCAAGCTTTTTATAATGACAAGGAATTATAATTTTTAAAATTCTAATACATTCCATATAAGGCTTATATACTTTGTTCTAAACCTACCTACATTGGTCTCGTAGCTACAGCATCTGGCAAATCGGAAAATCTGAATTCTAATTGCTAAATTCATGTCCTCGTAAAATTATTCTAACCAAATGAGACACTGAATAAAAAAGAATTTGCAAAGTTACAGGCATTATACAAACATAAATCATTACAGTTCTTACCCATTCTAGTCTTCATCCCCCCACCCAACAAAGTCAAAAGAATACTGATTGCCAGCCAAGTTTAGGTGAGGAAGCTATTTACAAATAAGTTTCCCTGAAATGCTTATTTTCTCCCCTAGTGTTCTCAGATTACATCACATCAGACTTGAGAGGAAAAATGGCCATTATTCTCTAGGAATCTAATTGTTATCAGTGTTAGGCTCTGCAGAGCATTAAAACAACATAAGCAAAGATATGAGATGTCATGATAATCCCCAAACTTTATAAATATCTAACTCAAAATCAGATAAACTACCAATATTCTATCCTTTATTCTTTCCCTAGCAATCAAGGCTCCTGAAACAAATTAGAATGTATTAAAATGTAAGAAACCTATCATTGAAATAGTTCTCATACTTGGTATTTTCCACCATTACTTCAGAATCCCTAATATTAAATTTTGGGAATTAAGAGAAAAGAGGAAAAACACCAACTGAGCCAAGGAACGAATCTGATAACATCACTGCATTTAGCATCCAAAGAAATCTATTAATTTTACAGCTTTATATTTCATTTTAAACGTAATATGGGCAGGCAAAGATAACAAATATTTTCCAGTCAATGGTTAACAGCACAATATCAGCCATCTGCAGAAATTATGTAGTATTAAACATCTGAATCTTCAGCCAAGCTCTACCACTCAAAAGACAAAAGACTTGAGGTCAAAAGTTGTTAATCCCTCTTTTTTTATTAAATATCCTCATTTTCTAAAAATAAGCAACCAGAGCTTGTCAACATTTTTAAGATTACTACAAAACCATTCCAAAGTTAAATGTACAATCCATAGTACATCAGAAAGAGACACAATAATAAATGTATAATCAAATGTGCTATGCTATTGATCACAATTTATTTTGAAGTTATGAAAAGCCAGCAACAGTAAAGCTGGACAAATACTTGATTGTGCCCATGTTTCCATGGGCTGAACCAGCAGCACTGAGTTACACAATGAGAGCAACACTTCCTTTTCCACCTTCCTGGAAAAATTATTAGATAAGGCAAAACTATGGGCAGCTACTGAATGGTGGTTTGAATCATGCGAGAACAACAAATAATAGGTAATAGGTGTGCAATAAACATCTGATTGCTGAATTTTGGACTGACGGCAGCAAGAAAATTTATCACAGAAGGGAATGGTTGAAAGGCATTTCAACTCAGAATTTTAAAAAATTAATGCAAGAAACTTTAAAAAAAAATGTCTTCCTGCCACTTTTATATAGGGCAACACAATCCAAAGATAATTTCCTTTTATGTAATTTTTTAGGTTGATGCAGAGTGGTATGCTTCTGCCCTCCTGTTCCATAAGGGAAAACAAAACCACCTAAATGTCTTCCTTCAAAGCTCTGGATTAGAGAAATGATTAACAAATAGCATTTATTTCACACCTAAGCATAAATAGCTAAAATGAAGATTACTGTTCAGTTTCTTCTTCCATTATTTCAGCTCTGCGAGGCCCATAGAGTAGAACATAAGCAATATGCCAGTCTCCACCACCAGAGAGCCGCAAGATATCTTCCGGTGTTACAATGCTGACCTTATCATCATCAAATTTAATCCATTCATCTAAATAACAAAAGAAGAAAATAAAATTAATATCACACACAATTCCTGTCAGTTTCACTGCAAAACAGGTCCTCAAGACCGGGCGCGGTGGCTCACGCCTGTAATCCTAGCACTCTGGGAGGCCGAGGTGGGTGGATCCGAGTTGCAATAGAAGTTAAAGTCCATGGTGCTTAAAGAAATTAGTTCTCACCACAAGGGTGCAGGCTTACATAGAATGTTCGTTAGCATTATCAGAGGCAAAAAGTAGGAAAACAGCCTAAAATATCCTGAACAGGACATGCATAACTTGTGGCATGTTGATAAAAGAATATTGTATATACATTAGAAACATGAATGGATGAAACTACTGTAACACCATGGTAATATTCAGAAAATCAAGTCAAGTTAGAAGGGTACAAGCAGGATCCATTAATAGAAAGTTACAAACATTTCCAAACAATAATATACTCTATGTTTTTTTTTAAGGCACAAGGAATAAGAAGTACCAAAATTCCGGATAGTGGCTAGCCTATAAGGAGAGAGAAATGCATTAAAGAGAATGGGCACAGGTGAGCCTCAGTTGTCTTTGTAGTGTTTTCTAAAACTCAGCAAACATGGTAAAAGCCCTTGGGATGTGGAATACAGATGTTTGTTACATTAGTCCTGATACTTGAAATATATTACTAATTTTAAAACTAGCAAATGGTTCCACAAACATTGTTGAACGATAAGCTCTGGGCGAGTTTTATTGTGTATCCTGTTTTGTCCATTATGACATGTATAGAAAAAGAGTGATGAAAAATCACAAAGAAATTTCACAAGCCTGTAGTGTTTTCGGATTAGGGAGCATGTTATTTTAATGAAATTAGGTCATAAGAGTGAAATGCCAGAGTTTGTCTTAGAGAGCCTTTTTCTAGTTTTAAATCAAAAGATGTCTTCTGAGCTGATCCTTGGATCTAATCTTCTTGCTTTGCTCTGTTATTAAAATTTTATTATCTAAAAGCCAATCCAAGAAAAATGGGCAGTTAAAACCAACCACACTACCATGGTAACAATTAAGAGCTAAAAGTAACTATAAAATCTCATTATGCCTTGTTATTATTGATATTTTATTTAATTAATCCTGGTTAAAAGAAAAAAAGGACCATGGAGAGAGCTAATGTTAAAATCTCATGTTGTTGAATGTCAAATGCTATTAAAACCCCTGGTGCTCTCTGTGAAAAGCATATTCATACATTATTAGTATAAGTGTATATTACATCATATATAATATACGAAATAATAATATTATGTAGTGTTAGACGTAGCCTCTTTTTATTGCCGTTTAGTTTTGGTTTTAACCTCCTTAAAAATCTAAGTTCTGTAAGTCATCTAGCTTAACTAAAGTATGAGTACATTTAAACTTTATGCATACTATTTATGAGCATTATTATTTAAGAACATACATGATCCTCACTAATTCATTACAAATACCCAGGAATAAATGCCAACTTTGAGGATTCTTTGGAAGAAGCCATTGAACAGGCAGACCCTGAAAACATGTTGAAAAGTAGAATAAAGTATATTAAGTTTTTCATGACTAATTTTCATTTTCTACAATACTTTTCTGTGGAATTGTGTATACACTAGAAGCTTATTAAGGGAGCCATTGATCAGTTAGTAACTGTTTCCTCTTAAATGGTTTTGGTCCAAGTTCATGTTACCATACACTCCTGATTTTGAGGTTTATTCCTGTTGACTAAAAAGCATGACTTGAATCAACCTTGTTTGTAAAATGTAAGAAAAATCTTCCCACATCTCCTCAACAATACCTCTTTCTCTATCCCCTCAAAGCTATAGCATCTCCCAACAGCCATTATATTACCCTTCATTTCCTCACCTCCGTTGTTCATCAGCCCACGTGCAGCTGGGTTTCCTTCACGTCCACTGAAAACGAGCTCTTTACAAAGGTTCCTTGTTCTCTGACCTCTCACAGATTGCAGGCGCCTGTCCTAGGATGTTTTCTTCTCTTGACATCCGCGAAGCTCCACCCTCCTGCTGTTTGCCCTTCCCTCAAGGCCACTCTGCCTCAGTCCCCACATGGCATGGCACCTCAGCTCTCCAAATTGTGGAGTACGCTTTCAGGACTGAG